TTTAACTTGGACTCTGCCCAATATGAGCTACCCTTGGTTAAATCTTAACCTGTATCCTTTCCCTATATGCTTCCTATAAACTATAAGTGTAGGTGTTTGGGAGGAGTTACACAAATACTTCCCCAAAATCATCAAGCCTACACATCCCAAAACAATGCAGTTGGTCAAATAAATTAAAAGAGAACTAAGCTCTCAAACTTATAATAGTTGGCAAACCCCTTGTAGAAAGAATTTTCTCGTTTTCATCTCACCACTCTGAATAAAAGACAGGCACAAGAATAAAGATGATGTAATATTCTAGGGCACACACAAGACGTCTTTCTGGTCAGAAAACAAAAAATGTGTACTGTATATGTGGGAGGGGGTGGAGGGGACAAATTCCGAAGAGAGAATTAGAGAAGGGAACCCCTTAAATCCCTCACGAGGCCAGGGCTCATTTCTAAGGCGTGCATATAGGGGACACTCCCAAGAAGCAGAGCAAAGGCTCAGTAAATCCATCACAGTTCAGGTCTCAGAGGCTCAGATTAACCTAGAGAGAGACACGGCTCAGAACAGACCCCAAACGCCAGAACAGAGGCTCTGAGGTGAAAGTGATGACTGAAGTAGCAACAACACAGGAAAGATTACGGACTCAGTGCTCTTAGGGGTTTGCTTATTTTTAAAAATAGAAATTAAATTATTGTTCTCTGGAGCAGGGGTGGGAAATCCCGGGGTCTGGCTGGTCCGTGATGGACAGACACGGATGCTCTCACCAACAACCCACAGTCCCTCTGCCTGGGCTGCACACACACACGAAGGGTGTTACTGACATCCAAATGGCCACTAGTAGAACAAAGGCTACCCATCCCTGCTCCGGAAATCAACAACCACAATAAACCCAGAGCTTAAAATATGTAATAATCACAATTTATTCTATTTCAATTTATTCTATTTGGACAAACTGGCAGGCTACCGAATGTAGCCTGCCCGCACGGCAGAGTCTGGCAAACTCCCCGTGGTGTACCCAATATGCCAAATACCAGTAACAATGATGGGTCTCATTCTCCTAAAGAGCCTTGAATATAATCGCAGGGCTAGGATGATGGAGATGTTACTGGGGCCTGCTCGAGGCAATCGATGATTAACAGGATGATTTGTGATTTGTGTGATTCTATTTCAAAAAAGAAAAAAAATCTTGGAAAATCTAGATTTACCAATCAAAGACTTGAATTTTGGGGGGTAGTGCCAGGGACCAACCAGGTCTAACACATGGGAGGCGTGTGCCCCACCACTGAGCCACATGTCCAGCCCTCAGCTGCCTTAGTAAAGGGACTGTCACTTAATGTTCCTAGCTGAGTGTCAATTACCTCATCTTAAATACTTTTTCTTGTTGGTTAGCTGTGGCAAATTACATGAAATAGACAAGTTGCCATTTCCGTCATTTCTAAGTGGAAGTCCAGTGGCATTAAACACAAGCACAACGTGCACAATCATTGCCACTATCCGTGTCCAGAAATTTATCATTATCCCAAAGCCAACTCTGTCCTGAGAAACTCTGTTCTCCACTACCCTCCCCCCCTCTTTTACACCCTCTCCCTCTGGGTTCCAGTCTAAGCACCCCACAAAACTAGTGTGTAATACTCGTCCTTTGGTATTAGCTTATGTGAAATGGGGGTGGTGAAGGGGGAGGTCTGACTATCCCTGGCTCTGTGCTCGAGCCCCTGGCAGTGCTCAGCGCTGCAAGGGAGCAGCTGCATGCAAGGCACGCGCCTGGGCCCTTGGACTCTCTCGGGCCCAGCTTATGAAAGTCTGCATCTTTTGTGTGTGTGTGTGTGGGGGGGGGGTGAGGGAGGAGGGATGCACACCTGGCAATGATCTACAGTTACTCCTGGCTATGTGTGTGCACAGGAATCACTCCTGGGGTTGAGGGGACCATACGGGATGCTGGGCAATGGACCCGGGTCTGCCGCACGCAAGGCAAGCAAGCTGTACTAACTCTCCAGCCCCTTATATAAGTTTTTAAGGCTTTGCATTGCAAACCACAACACCTAAAGGAAGAGAGAGAGAGTAAAAGGGAACGTGCCTGCCACAGGGGTGGGGAGATGGGGTGGGGATGGTGGGAACATTAGTGGTGGAAAATGGGCACTGGTGGAGGGATGGGTACTCGATTATTGTATGATTGTATGACTGAAAACTAAGCATGAAAGTTTCTAAATCTGTAACTGCACCTCATGGTGATTCATTAAAAAAATTTAAAAAAATAGTTTTTAAGACTTGACCATCCATGAAGAACAGAGTTTCATTCTTTCTTGAGGCTGAGTAGTATTTCACTGAATCTATATACCATATTTATCTTTAGGTGGTCGTGAGGGCTATTCTAGGCAAATGCACCTTTAAATGAAACAATAGTCAAAATTAAATTATTCAAAATGGGGCGGAAGAGAGAATATAAATATAACCTGGGGGCGGGGGCAGGGAGACGGCTGCTTGTTTTTGTGGTGGCAGGGGCTGAACTTAGGGGGCCTCACTCCTGCTAGGTAAGTGCTGTGGTGCTGGACTATATCCTGGATCACAAAGGGAAAAAAGAGTTGGAAGTCACTGATTGAGGGCCGGGCAAAGAAAATAATTCAGCAGCCTCACATCTTTCAATAAGCACCAGGTCTACTTCATTCTGCAAACTATCAAAAAATTTCCTGAGACTACCATTTGACTTCACGACAGCAAGAGAACTATCTACAAGTACATCTGAAGAGGCACTGCAAACCACTGATACTGCACGTACTGGTTATCAAGTAGGTTTTCAACATTTGTTTTGCAGCTACAAGGTGTCCTTGGAGAGCTAGCTCAGCGGAAGCTACAGAAAAGTTATAGGATTTCAGATCTCACAAATGCATGATTCCAAAACTTAGGTACGATGAAGAAAGAACAGGGAAAAACATCAGACTAAGATAGGAAATGTGATCGAGACAGAAAAGTCAACTCAGTTAAAGGTCTCCGAAAACATCCTCTAACCCAAAGAAAGCCTATTCCTTGTTAAAAGCCAGTCCACAGTGAAAGTTGCTTCGCTGCATACTAGGGAACACACACACACTCTCGCTCGCTCGCTCTCGACATTCAAACCCATGGAAAAGACAAAACGACACTTATCTTAGAGAGATCATGAGTAAGAGAATAAAGTGAAGACTGAAGAGATAGTACAGGTATGAAGGTACAACATGGCCGATACAGTTCAATCCCTGATACCATGTATGATCTCCTGAGCACCTGCAGGAATGATCCTGAGCACAAAGCCAGGAGTAAGCCCTGAGCACCACCAAGTGCCCCTGCCCCCACTCCATCAAGTAAATTAATTAATAAGGAAATAAGGTGAAAAGAAAAGTATAGAGAAGGAGGGAAAAAAAGAATACCTGTGAGCCAAGGAGATGGACAGCACAGGAGTAAAGCACCTGCCTCAACTTCAACCCCAGACTGAAGCCGACCTGTTTGAGAACCCTGGCATCCATCTGGTCCCATGAACACTGTCAAGAGTGACCCCTGTACACAGAGCCAGCAGTAAGCCCGGAGCACCACGTGAAGTGGCCCAAACCCCCCACCCTGGCACCCAAAAAGGAGGAGGCAGTAGACAGTTGGGGAGGAAAAAAAAAAATGCTAGAGAGGTGGAACCTGCGAGTCCTGTGGAGCTGACAAAACAGTCAGTTTTGTCGTATTTTCTCCAGCAACTTTTGTATGACATATTTAAATGGCCGCTGTACAATTCAAATCATTTATCAATGATAATTTTTAAAATAATTTACAAAAATGAAAAAAAAAAAAAATAATTTACAAAAATGCTGGAAGGTCAATGCTTTATGTATTTGTAATGTATAATAGAAACATCTTAATTTATAAATGTTCGTACAATTTTTCTGAAACATGCAATTATATACAATATGAGATATAGCCATTTATAATTATTGCTTCATTTTTACCAAGAAGGGCCAATTGGGGAAAAAAATCTCAAATTGAACTTCCTATTAATAAAAATGAGAATTAAGATCAATGACATGGGATGAGTTATCAAAAAATCTTGCCTAGGGAGAGATAAAACAATGGGCAGGGCATTTGCCTTGTATGTGGTTGACCCAGGTTCAATCCCTGGCATCCTATGTGGCCCCCTGAGCATCACAAGGAGTAAATTCCTGACTGCAGAGCCAGGATAACTCCTCAGCATTGAGGGTGTAGCCCAAACCCACATCTCCTCTCCAAAAACATTCCAACCTAGTTCACGGGCATCTGAGTGGGGGGCCTTAATGCAAAGGACTGTCCATCTGGCATCCCTGGGAACCGCCACAAGATACCACAGTGCTCCCTCCTTCTAGTCACTGCGACACCCACAATTCTGCATCTTTCCCTCAAGAGTTACACAAGGGGACCCCTACCAACTGCGAACTAGTAGCAGCGTTCTAACACTGCAATCATTTTCTATCTAAATGGAAACGAAGACTCTCCCATTTCTACAGGCTTAACCAAAAGCGCCCATTTCTCTCTGACGGGTCTTCATTATGAACAGGGATAATTCAAGCTACTGGGGGGAAGGGAGGCTCTTAAAAACCAAGTGCACTTTGTCTTTGGTCTTGTGCTAGCTGGGCCCAGGCTGTCACACCTGAACATAGGAGAACTATTCGCTGGATCTATACCATTGAATGTGTTTCCCATTTTATTCTTTTCATTCAAGGTTCTTTCTTCCTGGAATATTTTTTATCTTTAGTAACCAAGCTCAGTCAAAAGCCTGAATTGATAGATGAAGGCTTGAAGATGGCTCCAGGCCTTCCAAAGAATTAAAGTGCATGGGTCTGAAGGCAGCTACATTCTTACTAAGAATTGATTTCAACTTTCTTTTGGTTTTTGTAATTAAGCCGTGATGAAAAGCTCCAAAAGTTACTATAAATAATCTTTAGGACTAAAGTATACCACCACCACACCACTATAAAATAATTTGATCAAGCATTATAAGTACTACTAACAATATTTACATAACTCACCTGATTTCTTTTAGTCCTTCTCTCTGGATAACTTGAAGAATTTCTTTATGACTCATGGGTGTATTGGGGTATTTTTCTAAGACCTGAGAAACAAGTATATAATAAGATATTACTTTTTTTACTTTAAGTTTGTGTGTATTTTGTTATTATACCTACATATTAATAATTTTATCCAGCACATGTATACTCGGAAACTTTTCTTCCCTTTTGCAACAACAAAAGTGCAAAAATTAATGGGCTATCAGTAGGCTATTCTCTCCTCACAATAATCAAACCCTGAAGCAGCAATGGACCAGAAAGGTAAGACGGAAGATAGCTCGGTCAGTCCTTGTGAACGTGTGCCATGCAAGCATGTTCCCTTTCGGCCCCCGCCCCAGCGCACATGTCTGCCTGTGCGCTCATCATAAGCACCTTCAGAACAGACTGACTTTACATTTCCAGCCAAGTCTAGTAAAGCACAGACGCTCAATACATGTTTGACCAAGACAAATGAACAAAATGGATATAATAAAATCAAGATATCATCTGCATTCTGGTTCAGGCAAAGACAAAGGAAGCATAAATCACCTTGTCCCTTGCACTAAAGAAAACATTAAAAAGCTGGACAGAATGCCTAGAGCAGTTATCATAGAGCTTTCAAATCGGAACAGGTGATGGGCCGGAGCGATAGTACAACAGAGGTAGGGTCTTTGCCTTGCATGCAGCAGACCCGGGTTCAATCCCTGGCATCCCATAAGGTCCTCTGAGCACTGCCAAGAGTAATTCCTGAGTGCAGAATGAGGAGAAACCCCTGCGTGTCTTTAGGTGTGATCCCCCCCCCAAAAAAGGAGCAATTTCTGAGCAGAGCCAGGAATAAACCCTATGCATCACTGGGTGTGGCCCATAAACAAATAAATGGGACCAAGTTGACTTGGGGCAGGAAACCAGCACCAGAAGTGCTAACTGCAACAGCCATGAGCTCTCTGCTTTCCTTCCTCTGCCACCACCCAGCCTAGATTCAAAGCTGAAATTCTAAACTGTACAAGCAGAAACAGGCTCTCTTCTTTGGTCTGAGGAATGATAAACATGGGGGTGGGGGAGCCTCTGGGGACCCCTTTCTCTTGGCCCCCTCCCCAAAGCAGGTCAAAGGCAACAGTGGCAGCAACGATGAAGTGTTGATCCCTGCAGTGGCTGGGCAGAGACCTGAAATTCCAAGAAGGAAACTTCCGTCCCCAGAGGGCGGAGGGCACCCCCACAGGCTCCTGTTCTTTCGCTACCACACCTTGATGTTTAGTCCCGAAGGCAGAGCAAAATGTAGAAATGTGCAGCCACACAGAGAAACAAGAAGCACAAGGTCCGCGCAGGAGCCGTAGCACAGCGGGCAGGGCACTTGCTTTACATGCAGCCAACTCGGGCAAAATCCACAGCACCCCTCATGGTCCTCAGAGTACCACCAGATGTGGACCCCCTCACCCAAAAAAAAGCACAATTTTTTAAAAAGGAGGGTCGCTGGGCATCAGAAAATGTCAGGGAAAACTAGCAAAACAAACAGCTCAAGGAAACGATGCCACTGAATTCTACAATCAAGGGGCACACAGAGTTTTAAATATATTATCAATTTTTCACATTAGCCACTAGGGGGAGCACACGTAGAATGGCTCCTAACGGTCTGCAAAGGTTTTTCTGCAAATGAGAGGAATGAAATGAACCGAGAGGAATGACTCAAGCCATCCCCAGGCCCCCAATGTTTTCCTTCCCAATAACTCTCCCTGAGTATCCCCCACTTCTTTGCACACACAGGAAAGCAGTGGGACATCCTCTATACAACAGCATTAATTCTACAACCATGAATGTTCCATCAGCAGCTTAAATTGAGGAGCCTAAATTTTAATTTATTAAATCTTTATTGAAACAAAGGTCCATTCATTGCCAAGTAGTGGGAGAAAGAAGAGAAGGAGGAGCAATAACCTAAGGAAACAAGTGGAGGGTCTTCAGCACTTTAGTGATGGTGAAGGTGCAGCAACCATGTGCATCAAAAACCATGAGGGGTTGGAGCGATAGCATAGCAGGTAGGACGTTTGCCTTGCACGCAGCTGACCCAGGTTCAATTTCCAGCACCACTCAGGAATAATGCCTGAGTGCAGAGCCTGGAGTAGCCCCTGTGAATTGCCGGGTGTGACCCAAAAAGAAAAAAAAAAAAAAAGAAAAGAAAACAAACCAAAAAAACCCCACAAACGTTGGGACTGCAGCAACAGTACAGCAGGTAAGCATGAGCCTTGTATGCAAACGAGCCGGATTTGATCCCCAGCACCCCATATGGTCGCCTAAGCCCTGCAGGTGTGATCCCAGAACAAAGCGCCAGGATTGAGCCCCGAGCAGGGCAAACAAGGTAAACCAAACATTAATGGCACTATGCTACTGTAACGGGCTAGAGTGATAGCAAAGCAGGTAAGGCATTTGCCTTGCACGTGGCGGACCCGGGTTCGAGTCCTCCATCCTTCTCGGAGAGCCTGGCAAGTTACCAAGAGTATCCCGCCCACACAGCAAAGCCTGGCAAGCTCCCCGTGATGTATTCAATATGCCAAAAAACAGTAACAAGTCTCACAATGGAGACGTTACTGGTGCCCACTCGAGCAAATGGATGAGTGCAAATGAGGACAGTGCTACCGTGCTACTGTAACATGTTACATAAGCTATAGGAGCAAAATTTGGTGGGTTTTGTTTGGAGGGGGGTGCACACCTGTCTATGTTCAGGGGTGATTCCTGGCAATGCTCCAAGGACTATAATGGGATGGCAGGGATTGAGCTTGGGTCAGCCGCATGTAAGGCAAGCAACCTAGCTGCTGTCCTATCTCTCCAACTGTTTAATTTTTAAAACTAAAAGCTAAAGGGGAGGGTGGGGTGGGTGCCAGCGCTATAGTACAGCTGGTAGGGTGTTTGCCTTGCAGGTGGCCAACCCCGGTTTAATTCCCAGTATCCCCCAAGACAGCCAGAAGTGATCCTTGAGTGCAGAGTCAGGATTAAACCCTGAGTAGTGCCAGGTGTCATCCAAAAACAAACCAAAACCTTTTTTTCTTTTTTTTTAATATTTTTTTATTGAGATACTGAAATTTACAAAGTTATTCATAGCGCCCAACCTTACAATCAGCCATGATCAAATTCCATGTGTATGGTTTACCCAACCTCAGATATCAACCCCATCACACCAGGTATCAAACATCACTCCCACTTGGGCTCTGGGGCCATATGGGGTGCCAGGGACCAAACCCGGATCAGCCACATTGCTCAGCCGCATTGAAAGGCAAACACCGTTACCACTGTCCTGTCACTCTGGCTCCCCAAAATCTTTGTTCTTATTAAAAAAATAAGATTCCTACAGGGGCTGGAGAAATAGCACAGTGGGTAGGGCGTTTGCCTTGCACACAGCCAACCCAGGCTCGATTCCCAGCATCCCATATGGTCCCCCGAGCACCGCCAGGAGTAATTCTTAAGTGCAGGAGCCAGGAGTAACCCCTGAGCATCGCTGGGTGTGACTCAAAAAGAAAAAAAAAAGATTCCTACAGAAAATTGGGTTTGAGGGGCCAGGGAATGGCCCAAAGGGCCGAGCTCTATACTTGGATGGCATAGGTTTACTCCCGGCACTGTCTGGTCCCCAAACCCCACCAAGACTAGCCACTAAGCACCGTCAAGTGTGATGCAAAACCAAAAAAGAGAACTAGGTTTTTCTTTGTCCATAGCAGTTCCAACCCTTCCCGCTGGCAGACTTGCAGACTTGCAGCAGTCTGCAGACCAGCGGCTGAGAGACACTGCTGGCCTAATGGGGCACAAATGAGCAAACCCACGGGGAAAGAACAGCATGCCAGGCACAGGGGCGGAGCACTATCAAGTTTCCCGTCAGCAGCTAGCTGAATTATTTAGTAGACACTGATGATCTGAGACTTATCGACCTGATGGTAAATGGTGATAGTTTTTCAATCCTTATTCATTCATAAACAGAACGCTTCCAAAGAGAAAGGTTACCCGATGTATAACGTCCACAGAGAATAAAGGAGGAAGAGCTGGATTCTGTCCTTCTAGTCACAAATTTTCAGAAATTGACTAGTAACGCTCGAGAGATGGTTTTACATTCGTCTGAAGTAGCATTAGAAATATTCAGGTTACCATGATGAACTTTAGTGCATTTGCATACTACTTTAATGTATCATGTGCTCTTTTCCTCGTATCACCACTGTCCACTAGATGTGCATTTACATTTATATCATTTGCACGAGCTCTTTTTATTTATGCAATACCAAGAATATAACCCACAACCTCATACAAAAAAGGCAGTACTCTCGGACCAGACCCAGTCCCAATTTTTGTCTTTTTGTTTTGGGGCCACACCAGGCTGTGCTCCAAGCTCACCCCTCATTCTGAGCTCAGAGATCATTCCTAGTGGTGCTTGGGGGCAAGATGGGGTACTGAGGATGCAACCTGGACCGGCCACATGCAAGGCAAGCGCCCCACCAGCTGGAATATCCAGTCCCCCTACTTGTCAGATTAGGACTCCCACTGTTCCGGGGCCAGAGCCACAGTAGAGAAAAGAGCACTGGCCTTGCACAGCCAACAGAGGTGTGATCCCCGGCACCACATATGGTCCCCCAAGCTCTGGCAGAGCCAGGAATAAATCCTAAGCACTGCCTGGTGTGATCCAAAGATAAAAACAATCCCCGAAATCTCCCACTTGGGGCATTTGCTACAAAAACATTTTCCAGTTTGTTCTTCATGATCTCACTGCTGTTGTTTTTCAAGCAGATTTTCCTCAATCCCAGGTATCACAACTACTAATTGGTCTTTCAGCATATCTACGTTAAGGGGTAATATCCCTTCCCACCATCAGTTCATTTTTTCCATTTTAAAAAAATCTGCATTAAGTTCCTTTATTTTTCATTATTCAGGCACACCACCAAAACCTAAAACCACTCTTCATGGATACGCCACCCTTAACACGCCTGATCGTGTCTGATCTTGGAAGCTAAGCAAGGTTGAGCCTGGTTAGTACCTGATGGGAGAAAAACCTAAAAAAGGAAAATGAAGAGAATAATAAAATGGCCACATAACAAAT